AGGAAATTACAATGTTTCTTGCAAGTCAGAATGATCACTTTAGGTAGGTTTCTTACTGCTTAATAATATTTAAAGTATTTTGTGTTTGAGTAGTAACATTACTATCAGTACAACTGAGTTTTTTTCTTTACCAATGATACTATTATTATTTTTTTTGGTTTTTTTTGGGGGGTTTTTTTTTTTGGTTTTTTTCTGAGACAGGGTTTCTCTGTAGCTTTAGAGCCTGTCCTGGACTAGCTCTGTAAACCAGGCTGGCCTCGAACTCACAGAGATCTGCCTGCCTCTGCCTCCTGAGTGCTGGGATTAAAGGCGTGCGCCACCACCGCCCATCACTTTTAAAAATAACTAAAAACAATTTTTTTGAACACAACGATAAAATGTCTCCTCTAAACATATCCATGAACTTTAACTCAGACTATCTAGATATTACAGAAGTAAAGACACTTTATTGGAGATGCCATTGCTTCAAATTTCTGCCCTAGTGTTGAATATTTAAGGAAGAGAGAAACCCTAAGGGCCTACAAAAGGGGGCGGGGTCAACCCTTCTTATACTGCCTGGGCTCCTTTCTGATCACACTGCAGCCTAGGTCTTTTTAGGAACATGGCCGCCTCCAGTCGCTCTCTCGGTAAGTGCTCACCGGTGTTTTCAGATTATGCCAGACACATTCTGTTTAGAAATGGAAAGTGCAAAGGTGGTTGGTGAGGAAGGTTTTCTAGTGACCTATGGTTCGGATTGGGAGGAAATGAATGTTACCTGTAAGACAGCCGCTGGGAGCCCACCCGTTTATCTCTTACTTACCGAAGTTTGGGTGTGTTTATTTCATCTTGTTGCTTAAAGTTTCAAACTTGTCACTTGTAGTAAGGGGGGGGGGGAGGTGCACAAACCACTTCATAGATTCGTTACTTAATTGTATAATTTATTTTCATGTTTCATTAGTATCACTTCTTGCTTTTTATTAATTTTCCTCCTGCCTATTGTCCGTTTGTGATTTCTTTGTAATGTTGTGTGCTTTCTAAATCCTTGTCTTTTGATTTTTTGAGATAGGGTTTCTCTGTGCAGCCTTGCCTGTTCTGGAACTCTGTAGACTAGGCTGGCCTTGAACTGAGAGAGAATCTCTTACCTCTGCCTCCCAAGCACGGGATTTGAAGGCATGTGTCACCTTGCCGGTCTCTACATCCTTTTCTTGATTATGTTTAGGGGTGTGTGTGTATGTGTGTTGGAAGGGCACATACATGGAAATCAGAAGAAAATTTACAGAAATCCGCTCACTCCTATCATGTGGGTCCCGGGCTTGAACTCAGGTCATCAGGTTTGGTAGCAAGCACCTTTACCTACCAAGTCATCCCACAGCCCTCAAATATCTTAACAATAGCTGTATGTATCTTGGTGGTTTCTGAAGTTACATTTTTCTGGATTCTTTTTTTTTTTTTTTCCTCAGAGCTGAGGACTAAACCCAGGGCCTTTTGCTTGCTAGGCAAGTGCTCTACCACTGAGCTAAATCCCCAACCTGAAGTTACATTTTTCATAGAGTTTCCAAGTGATTCCCTCAGTCACCCCATTTTCCACATTTTTTTTTCTTTTTTCAAGACAGGGTTTCTCTGTGTAACTTTGTAGCCTGTCTTGGATCTCATTCCATAGACCAGGCTGGCCTTGAACTTGAAAAGATCTGCCTGCCTGTGCCTCCCGGGTGCTAGGATTAAAGGCGTGTACCACCACCGCCTGGCTTTTTTTTTTTTTTTTTTTTTGCTTTTTTCTAAATGAGATCATAGCCTGGTTCCTAGAGTATACTAGGTAGGATTACAGACCAATAGGCTAAGAAGATAAAAACCATACATTGAAAGGGTTGAAGAACCACCCCCTTCTACTACTATAACACAATGGAGTTCCTTTTTTTTTTTTCTGTGAAAAGTTTATAGTCAGCCCGGGCGGTGGTGTCGCAAGCCTTTAATCCCAGCACTTGAGAGGCAGAGCCAGGTGGATCTCTGTGAGTTCGAGGCCAGCCTGGTCTC